ACTTTGTGTGGTACCATTCCTGTGGGAGTGCCAGGCACCCCTTCCTCCTGCCCACTGGCTGCAAGAGCAGCCAAGAGGAACATGTCAAACCCGTGCCCTGAGGTTCTCAAACCTAACATTTAATTATGTGCTTTTGTGGCACCGGCCACATTGAATGTCACATCACTCACGTCAACACTTTTCTTCCCCTTCCTCCCTCTCTCCCTTCCAAAAACTTGGGTGCAGGAAGAAACAGTGCATTGTGAAAAGATTACTCAACCTCTCCCAGAGCAATCACATAGTGTCTTCCTCCTCCTGAACCCCACCTACAGCTTTCTTTGTCCTGTCTAATATCTGTTCAACCCCACATCCTGGTCTGACCTGGAAAAGCACCTGGTGTTATCTGGGAGCTATTTCCATCCCACAAGTGCTCCTTTCCTGTTGGTGGAAAAGCCTTGGGCTTTGTCGGTGCCTCACACAGAGCCATGGACCTCACAGAAGCCAGAGCAGTTGGAGCAAGCAGTCTCACACTGCTTGGGTTTTTTATTAGAGCTAGGAAGCAGCACCCATCAGTCTAGCTTGAAGGAGGTGACCCTGAAGCCTCCCTTGATGTTCATGTAGCTGATCTTATCATAGGAGTGCCGGTTGGGGAACTCCACTTCATGCCCATCCGGTAGTTTCACTTGGAATTTGTCTGCCAGCATTTCAATGACCATCTGTGAGAAGAGAGGGGAAGAAGGGCAGGGATTGGGGACAAGGATGAGATTAGGAGATGAGCATGCAGGCTGTTATATGTGAGGGTCAGACCTGGTCCTGACAGCCTTAAATTAAGCAAGGTGCTGGGGGCTGAGCTGAGGGTGGTGCAGGAAATGAGTGGTTGGTATCAAGGGTCTGAGCTGGTATCTAGACTATGATCTGGGAACAGGATCTTTCCTGAGGCTCTTTTAACTACTCAGGTTCTAAACTCAGAGCAGTTAAACCCAAGTGTGTCTTTATACGCCACAGGGCTTGGATCTACTCTGAACTCACTAGGACCTCAAAAAAGGAGCTTCACTGATAAACACTCACAAACAGACAGGATGAGAATGTATTGCTAATCATTGCAAATTAAAGGGATCATTCCCCAAAGCCACCACCTTACCACCCCTTCCCCAAGAGCCAGCCATGACTGAGGAAACAAGCTTCCTCTCCACAAAAATAGGGACGGCTCCTAGATGCAGTCCTATTAACATCTCGGGACATTAGATGGGGTAAAGACAGCAACTAGGACAGCATCCCTGGCTGGAGGAGAGGGAGGACAGGCTGCCAGTGTGGATTCAGTAGTGAGGACAGAATTGCTGAGGGAGAGGTTTTTGAACATTGCTACAAACCCTGGGTTGCCTTAAAACCTGTGTTTGCATAGGAGGGAATTAGGGAGAGAAATCAGGTAGAGAGCAGCAAGATCCTGCTTCCCTTTACCTTCGTTCGTGACCCTGGTACACTCACCTGCTGGGCAGGTATGGGGGACATGAAGCACTTAGAAAGCCTGAGACAGACAGAGCTCATGCAAAGTTCCCAGAGGAAGTGCTGGCATTTTGCAGGAGGAGTGGAAATGGCAATCGGGAACAAAAAACCCAGAGGGTGAGAATGAGAAGCTGTTGGGAGGGAGCAGGAGGCACTGGATAGGACTGGCAGGACTAGGGTACAGGAATCTTCTAACCAGGGGCTTCCCCCCACCACACACACTCCCAACAACCCCATGCTGGCACAGACTCTCACCTTGACAGTGGAGCCCCTGGAGAAACAGAGGTGGTCATCACGATGTTCTGCCTGCCAGGCACTGGAGCACCTGGAGTTGCACACGATGACAGACTCGTTGAAGCGGGGATTGAAGTGAAATGCCAGATCCGAGTTGCTGCAGCCAAGATTGATGCTGAAGCTGTGGGTGAACAGGAGGAAGGTCAGCCACGTGGGCAGGACAGGGTCTCAAAAGACCTAGGATCCAACATGTAGCTCTGCACCCAATTCCTCCATCAGCGTTGCAGGTGCTCCCGTCTCCTAATTCTGCTCTGGAACCAGCAGAGTTTGCACGGTGGTGGCATAGGGGGTCCCCTAACACTGAGCTATGCTCACGCTTTTTGTACCTGGCAACCTTGGAAAACCATCTCCCTGTGCAGCCCACCTTCAGTCCTGGCGAGCTGAGGTGGTTTCTTTGTACTTACCCGTCAGCATCTTCAGATATCTTGCCCTTGATCTTCAGGCTGTCCCCAGTCTTCATACCCAGGTTGAAGATCTCAAATTTTTCCTAAGGCAGAGAGAAAAATAGTCTGTGGGGCTCCTTCAGCCATTCCTCCCCCACCACTGCAAGTGAGACAGTGCTGCTTAGAGAAGGTGCCCCAAGAGCCAGGAGAACATCTACTGCTCTCAGTTGGCATTCCTCTCATGGCCTAAAACCCTCCATGCTGGAGGTCTTGCAAGGGCTTCTCCCTCAGTGGGGGAAGAGGGGGCTGAGTGAAGCCAGAAAATGAGAAAAGACATCAGAGAGAGAAGGGAGATGAAAACAGGGTTGTCCTCAGCAGAAGGAAAGGAGAGCATGAGAGCAGAGGTATAAAAAGGGTTAAAGCAGAGACGCACAACACAGGGTTTGGTGAGCAGCATTGCCCACAGCCCATGAAATGCAAGTGGTGAGAGCAAAGGTGGCTGTGGCTTGCCAGCCCCTCACGCAGCCTTGCTGAGCTGGGAACCCTGGGTGACGGAGGACAGGAGCAGGAGTCCTTACAGACATCTTCCTCAGAGGGCAGAGTAAACAGGCAGGGAGCCACCAGCAGCTTAGCTCAGAAATGCTTCGCACAGAGGACCTTACATCCCTAAACTTCCTTGTGGCTTACATATTAACAGCACCCCCGCCTCCAAAAGGCCCACCGGCTGCTATTAATCCAGGAGACTTTGATCTAAAGAAACAGCTTCCCTATGTACACTTCCTCTCATTAGGGACCTCAGGAGATTTAACCAATTCCCAGACTCCTCAGTGGGCTCCCTGTGGAGGGACCACCACACACAGCCCTTAGTGGTGCTATTCCAGACACTGCATAGGACAAGCACCTTCCCAGCTGGCCAATGAGGTGTGACCACTGTGCTCACTTCTTTCCTTCATGCAAAAGAAGCATCCCAGCTTCTTCCCTTCTCATGGCTCTAGATTCAGCCCCAGCAGTATGGATTGCACTAGCAATCCATGTGAGCTCTCTGCAACCTCCCATCCAAGCTCCATCAAGACCCAAACCTTTTGGCTTGAGGAGCCATGCACATCAGGTTCAACAGCCCCGTCCTCCCTAACCCTGAGACATGAGAATCTTGTCCTCACAGGGGAGCATCACCCCTGCTATCTTCTTCCCAGGTAAGAGCTACGAGACAGTAGACAGTGTCTCAGATTTGTCTGAAAAATTTGGTGGTGTTTTGCCAGACTGCAGAAGTCAGTTGGAAAGTGAGAAGGAGGAGGAGGCCAAGGCTCAAGAGACCAGTAGTCCCTCGGCTCCCCTCCCAAGCCCTGCAGAGAATAGCTGAGTGCAGTCACTCTGCTGCTGCACAGCCAGCTGGGAGATGGCTTTTGCCCTTCCACAAAACCTCCTGCAGCAACCAAAGGTAAGTGCTGATAAGCAGTCCTTCCCCGGAGGTGTTTCCTATTAGCAGGGGGTCATAAAGCCCAGCAGGCTTGGGAAATTTGTTTGCTGTTGATATCACTCAATCTGTTGGTGAAGCCTCCCCAGGCTGAGCGTGGAGCCAGCAGGAGCAGGTGGTGGGGATGGTGGTTTCTGGCATTGGGTCTGTTTCCCATCACGCTGCTGTGTCCCACACATGCACACCTTCACATCACCCTGCTCCCCCTTCAGCCATCCCAGGGAGAGCCCAGAGCCCCCCTTCCAAAATATCTGATCATCCTACTGGCCACGAGAGGTTTCTCTTTCCGGCAACTCATGTTGCAGGGACAAGGGCAGGCCAAAAACATTGCTTGCATAGCCACCATCAGGGTTAGTTCCCTGAACTCACGTTAAGCCAGTGGGACGAAACAAAAACTTCTAGGGCTCAAAAGATCACATCCCAAGACGGACCATAAACTCGTTCAGAAAAATCCTGTCCTACCTGGCTAGTCAAATCGACACAGGAATGTCACAGCAGAGGCAAGACCCAGGTCCTGGGCCAGAAATGTAGGGGAGGCTCCACCCCACTTGCCACACAGCCAAGCATGGAGCAGATGAAAACATCACTTTCACCAGGATTTATCCACCAACCCCACCAGCAGAGTGTGAGGCTGCCCAGAAGGGAGAACAGCATGTGGCTGAGGGACAGGGAGAACTACTCACACAGAGTTATGTGCAGAGCCACGAGTACTACAGATGTGAGAACATGCAGGGAGGGAAGACAGGCAGGAAAGAGGCACGAGCTGCTCAGGGAAGGGCTGTGAGATTTTATCAAGATAACATTAACCCCCCTCCTACAATGCACAGCAGGGGCGTTCACCCCCCTTTTATTTGCCACTGGGAATAATAGTGGGAAACCGGGCAGCAACTCTGCCAGTGCTGGCGATTTCCTTAGTCTGCAGAGCTGAGCCTACGCGTGGTCAGACACCAGCCCTGTGCAGATGGCCTCTCTCATGCAGGGGGATGTGATCCCCGTGTAGGAAGTGTGACTGAGACTTTACGGACCTCAGAAGAGCTGAAATCCTCCAGTGCAATTGGAGGTAGTGACTGGGATGATGGAGGGTGAACGGGGCAGATTGATACATCCCCACAGACACTGCAAAGCAGAAAACCCAAGGAAACAGTGACACAACGGGAATGTAAATCCCAAAGAAAGAGGAAATCCGGCTAAAGGGCATCTGCAAAGGAAGCGGAGGGTCTGTGCAGAGAGGAAAATATAAGCAATGGTTGTGGAAGCCGGCGGTCACTGGTGCAAGTGATCCAGGATCCCTTCACCCTCAAAGAGATGATCCTATAACAGGGTACCCACCTTGGAGTGCCTCGCCAGGGCCCCATATAGACAGACCTTCATCCTGGCAGGAGAGCAGTTGGCCTGTACTGGTGCGGGACGCCCATGTTCACACTGCTGGCACCAGAGAAGGCTTTGCTGCATTCCCAGAGTGCCTTGGGACAGCAGAGACCTGACAACCAGTCAGTCGCTGGTGCGAGAGTGGGGGCCATGCCTGACCTGAGGGCAACTGGAGCTTCCAACGGGGAGCAGGCAGGCCTGCAATTTTGCATGGAAATAAAACAAAAATCATATTTTAAGGAGGGAAGAGACCAATGCAACCACGTGGGCTTTTAGCCAGAAGGGTGGCAGGGCAAGTCCTCTGCAGAGTGCTTTCACCACATGAAACATAGCAGCTTCGTTTGCAGAGGTCCCATGAAGCAGGTCTTGCAGTTAACAGTCCTTCCTGACCGTCCCTCTCATCCCTGTGCGATCTCAGGCCACCAGGAGCACCCATAGGAGCTCAGGACCCTTAGGGTGGCTCCAGACAGCAGCACTTCATGTACCATATCCTAAAGCTGCCACCTCTACCACACGGCACACACACAGCTGTTGAGAACACCCTCCTCAGCATGCTGCCGTGATCCTCAGCAGCATCATGTCTGGCAGCAATATTTACTTTGTTTTCATACTCAGGCAGGAAATAAGCCAGCTAGGTGTGAAGCCCTGAGGAAAACCACAGGCTTCCCTACTTTCCATCCAAGGCAGCCCAGCCACCCTAGATGCGAAAGGTTTCTGGGGGCCTTTTGTGGCAGGGGGCAGCCCCCAAAATCCACACCAGCACACCAAATGGTCCCCACCATCTCTCCCAACAGTGCTCTGAGGAAGGGATCCAAGGGGTCGGTGGACAGGGCAGCCAATGCATCCTCTCTAGATGACACGAGCTATGAATAGTCCCTTGTAATGGTGACATGGTTCTTCACCAAATGTGATGCTCAGCCCAGAAGGGAAGAGAGGGAGAGAGAGGAAGGTGAGGTGGTCCTGCCGGCTGTGAGGATGTGTCAAACCAAGCCTCATGAGAAGAGGCAAGAGATCCCCTTAGCATCCTAACAAAAGGCTGTGGTTTCAGCTTGGCACTAATTAGCAGCACGGGAGGAGGACACTGTGGGGGGAAAAGATGCCTGTCCCATTTTGCACTCAAGGCACCAGGGAGCCTCTGCCATGGACCAGCATCAGCGTTTGCTCAAGGCAAAAGGAGCTGGAGAGCGCAACCACGCATTCCTTCTCAGAGTAGCAGCTGCTCACTCTGCTATTATTTCCTACTGCTTCATATAATTTGTACTCCACAGCAAGCTATTGTCCCTTTCCACTGGCTATTTATTTCCTTGAATAGCCTCTGGGGAAGGATTTCAGTGCGGGAGTAAAGAAAAAAGAAAAACTCCATACAACAAATATTGAGCAGTGACCTGACTTAAACCATGTTCTCTGACTTCATCTGGGCCCTGGTTGTGATTCCTCCCAGCAGTTGTGATTAAGCCACGTTTCTGCCTATGTTTCCCCTTTTTGTGAAGCCTAGGGGGGAAAGCCCCCTGCCTTAGGGTGCTGTAGGGTGGATTTCAAGATTTTCAGAAGCCAGGGCTCAGGACACAACTGAGAAGAGGCTTGCACCACCTCCTGATGGAGATGCTCAGTGCTCCACCTGCCAGTCACAGAAATTCCCCAATAGGTTTGACTGGCTTCCCCTTCAGTCAAGAGGTGTTGGTTTGCCTCTCAGCAGATAGCGGTGCAACCTTCACCCAACCGATCCCTAAGCTCTGAAAGCCAGCCAGCTTCCTAAAGGAGAAGGACAGAGAGAACAAAATGTACTTACCTCAGCCAAACACTGAGGTAAGCAAGAGACTGGATAAACAGGTCTGTGGATCTGGAGGGTGTGCTCAGGAGAGGACTGTCCAGGAGATGCAGGAGAAGCCAAGGCAATGATAAGCACAAGGAAACTAGTCCCCATGAGCACTAACCTGTTGCCTGAGGGGTTAACCAGGCCAGGATGGCTCCTCTAGGGAAGGCACTGAAGTCTCCACATTCAGATCAACTAAAATGGGAAGGAACAAGGGACTGGAGGTGAATCTTCTGCCACTCCTCCTGCCCCAGCTCCCTGACAGTGAGTCATCTGCAGCCTCTGTGGGAAGTATGGAAGTAGCATCCATGCTCTGAACATGGGGACAAGGGATTAGAGGCCATCAGCTTCTGGAAGGATCTCCACCAGCATCACCCCCCTTCAGCTGTAGGGTGCAATTTCTCTTCCTTAGGATGGGGAGAACAAGGAGGAGGAAGGACAAAGTTAGC